CAGCTTGTGTTTGGTTTCTGCATTTTCTGTCCGCTGTTCAGTTTTGGTTTTGTAGGACGATTCATTTTCATTGTGTCATGTTTTTTTTTTTTGTTTCTGCTGAGTCATAGCTCTTGCTAATTGCTTTGGGTTTATCTGCTCGTGTGCACATCTGTCTCACAGCTGGAGTCAGTCATTAATCAGATGCAACATTTAGGGTCCCTAGTTTTAGTTTTGTAGTTTTCTAGTTCAACTGGTCTAATGTGTTCCAAAAATATAATAGATCCAGATGATTTTTCCTTCAATTTCCTGCATTTAAACACATAAAACAACAAAAAAAACGGATGTATTTGGAGGGGAGCTTAATGTTTCATCAATTGCATGAGAAAATATTGAAGAGATAGTCTTTAGATTAAAAAACAATCCTTACATTGGGGGGAATCTGCTGGTCTGCTGAGTTTAGAGCATCTGGAGGAAAAGAGATTATCACCACAAATGATAAACAATATTACAATTAATGAACATTATTTCTATGAACTGTTAAAAACATTAGAAAAATAGTTTTAAAACCTTTACATGAACATAATTTATATTAGATATGACTGTTTCAGTATTTAGAAGACCTCATTTGTACCTGCTTTTCAAACTGAAGATGTAGTGACTTTTAACGTTTGGTCAACAGAACGATAATATAGGTTATGACACACTAATTTGAAAAGAGGTTAAAAACACTGTTTAAAGTCTTCTTCAGTCTGGAGAATCTGACCTGAATTCACCCCTGAAATGACCTGACTGTCATACAGATGTAGTTTCTCATTGATTTAACATTTCATTGATTTTTAAAGGCATTTTTAAAGATTTTTTTGTTTTAAAAAGGATCAGATCATGACTGAGAGCCACAACAAGCCCAAACATCTGGAGCATATATTCTAATTTCCACGCATTGTGTGTGAAGTCCTCAGAGAAGGCCACTAATTCCTCACCTGCTGGGGCTTTGTGCTCCTCCGTGGCTCCGCCTTTCCTCCTGAATTTGATGAGAACAGCTATGGTGATGAAGAGCAGAACTAGCCCCACCCCGACGGCTGCTCCGATCCAAATGAAGGTGTCCCGGGGGGGTTGTAACTTGGGGGGGTGTGCGGTCGTAGGAACTGAAGTGGTCGACAATGTCACTAAAAAAAACATCACAGTAATTTGAGTTTCTCGGATAAAACGCTTGATAATCATGCAAATCTAATCGACATCATACCTGCTGGAACAGGTGAGTAGTGAGCTTCTACCAGAACTCTGTTTTCCTCTACAAACTGGCAGGTGAACGTTCTGCTGTTTCCCCTCTGAAGGCTCACAGTCAGATAGGAAACACAGTTCGTCTGTCTTCTGAGCTCATATCCGTCACCTTTACCTGTCAGCTCAGTTCTTCTCTCATCCAGCCAGCGGATGCTGTTTGGTTTACACTGACCAAAATCTCTGTATCTCGTCAGAGAGCACTCTAATGTGACTTCATCATTTCCTGTATTAGCATCTGGTGGAGATGGAGAAACTGAAGGACAGAAAGAGATTAATCCTGATTTCTCAGCCTTAGAAATGGGGAATAATATGTTTATGTTTATATTTATGCATTTAGCAGAGGCTTTTATCCAAAGCGACTTACAGAGTAGACACAATATTACATTTCTCATCACTATGACAATAAGCTATACAGAGGAAAAACACTGATCAGAGTCAGTGGTGAGATAGAGATAGAGGTAGAGGGACTACAGAAGGAGCTGTGGGGGGG